TTTCAGGATTTACTGTTGTTCTCTACTTCTTCTTTGGACTTGGTGGCTTATGCTGATTTTGATTGGGCTGGTGATGTTGCTGATCGCAAGTCTATGTCTGGTTTCAATATGTTTCTTGGTGATTCCTTGCTCTCTTGAAAAAGTAAGAAACAATCACTACAACAAAACTGAATTTTTATGGCTTGCAATGCATGCCGTAAAAACTCTTTCACGACATGCACACAAATGCCGTTATATGACATGCCGTAAAAAGTTGAGCCTCATTTACGACAAACAAGTAAAGTTGTAAAAAGTAATAAATTAAACATTAATAACATAGTCTGTATGTCGTATATAATTTTTTACGACATTTTTGTCATGCCATAAATCATCATACTTTTTATGGCATAATTTTACATGCCGTAAAAGGTTATTTTGAAAATATTTATGGCTTACTTTGTATGCTGTATATAATATTTTACAGCATTTTCTTGCATGTCATAAATCATCACAATTTTCACGACATAATTTTGTATGCTGTAAAAGGTTATTTTGAAAATATTTATAGCATACTTTGTATGCCGTATATAATATTTTACGGCATTTTCTTGTATGTCATAAATCATCACACTTTTTACGACATAATTTTATATGCCGTAGAAGGTCATTTTTAATATATTTATGTATATAAAAATAACTATAAAAATAATTTTGTTTGCCGTATTTGCAAGGTAAATAGTGTAATTCCTCGCTTTGAAGGTATAGGTTGAACTCAAACATAAAAATAACTTTAAAAAAACATTCAAAAACCTACAAAACTATCATTTTCTTCTGTATTCAATTGTGTTGTGTATTTACTTATCTCAGGAAAATAACAACTTTGAGTACCACAAAGATGTGGCATTTTTTGCAAATAATTTGAAGGTCTTACATGTGTCAAAGCAAAATCTTGCTTGTCAAGAAAATCAAGCAATAACAAGCATTGTTGTGGCTCTCTGTCTCTGTTTGATTAGAAGTGTAACTTTTCGTGACTCCAAAGCAATTCTTTTGCAGAAGCCGAACTCTTGGATTATTTTCTCTTAACAAAATCTGTCAGTACTAGAGAGAGAGAGAGAGAGAGAGAGAGAGAGAGAGAACAACATTCATGATTAGTTCACATATTTTGACATAAATGAAAAAGAAGCTATGCATCTTCTAGATTTCAGCTCAAAACCAATGCTACCAATCAAGATAAAATAAGGCATGCAATCACTAACCTCGATTGTTACTGAGCATGTTCAATTCCAAGCAGTTGGAAAGATTCTGGGCCAACAAGGAATACATGTCTTGGGGTTTGGTACCGGAAAACTACTACTCCTTTGTATGTTGTTCTTGGCACACCATCCTGCGAAAAAAAGGAAATAATACAAGGAGCCATTTCTAGGAAGAGGGGATGCACACAAACAATTTTAAACGATGAGAACTACTGGTAGAACAAGCATGCAGTACATGTGGAAAATACCTTACTACTCTACATCATCAGGAAAACTATATTCTATATCTGCATGTTAAGTGCATCAGAGCATGGGCGAGAAAGAGGGGGGAAAGAATTTTGATATCAGTTACAGTTAGAAAAGAATTTCATGCTTAATTAACACAATCAAAACACCACACAACAGGATATTGCTTTACAAATTAGTCACTGGGAGGCAATAGCAACAATGTAACATTAAGATTTTCTTTATTTAATGGAGAAGAATAATGCCAAAAGTTTTAAATGACATAGGTTCCACTGATCATTTTCTAAAAGCCAACAAGGTGTGTGTAGGTTCAAATAGCTGAATTGAGATTGAGCTTTAAGTATTGTATCCAAAATAATGACCCAACTCTCTCATTGTAAAATTCCAATGCATTTTCATTGTTGATCTAGCAACAAAACCTGTACTAGATCCAAATCAAATCAATTAAAAACCACCTAGTTATAGTCTATGAAGCACGGACACAGACACGGATACGGATACGGACACGGACACGGACACGGTACACGGCAATTTTCAAAAAATGGGGACACGGACACGGCGGGGGACACGGCGAATTTTATTTTATTTATTTTATATATTTTTATGTGTTATGTAGATTCATATTACATTCATCCTAAATTAAAATTAATAAACACTAACATAGTAACATTAATTGAATAAACATAACTATTACATTTAAACAAATTAGATCATCCATTCACAAAAAATTCACAAAAAAGTCATAATAAACGATAACAAGAACTAAGACGAGAAGGGGAAAACATTCAACATCCAACAATATTTTTCACAAAAGCACTAAATAAGAGAGGCAAAAGATTAAAAAAATAAAAAAAAAATTAAATTAAAAAAAAATAAAAATAAAAATAGCCCTGCCGTGTCCCCGCCGTGTCCCATGCCGTGTCCCCATATGGACACGCGTGTCCCCGCCGTGTCCCTGCCGTGTCCCCTGCAAAAAAATCATTAAATTAAAGGGACACGCCATCTGGCGTGTCCCATACGTGTCCCCGGCGTGTCCCCGTGTCCCCGGCGTGTCCCCGTGTCGGACACCGCCACGGCACTAATTTTGGAGTGTCCATGCTTCATAGGTTATAGTTAGAAAAAAGAATATGAATTGAAGTACCTTTCATTCTTCAAAAATGCCAAATTGGTGTGAAATGCGTTCAAAATTTGCCTGGTCTTTGTAATGGACATGCACATCACCATCTATATTATATGCCTTCAGAACAGTATCAGCTCCATCAACAGGTTTTGCCTTTTTAACCATGTCAACAAAGTGCTTAAGATAATTATCCTACAAAATAATAACAAAAAAAAAAAAAAAAGGATTAGGCAAAAATATAGAAAAAACTGAGTTCATCTCAGATGATCATTTTTGCATATATCTTATTGGTAAGCTGCATGTATCTTATACCTCCATCATGTAGCTCAGATCCATCGACTTCCAATCAACCTTTTCAGCAAAATTAAAAAATCATTGACGCTGTAAGAAATTTATACAAACTAATACCAGATTTTTTTTATTTTTTTAAAATGCAGAAGAAATAGTCACATGCCTGGACATCGTTCAGCTTAATTGGCTCAAGTTTTTGTTTGAAAAACTGGCCCAAACTAGAACCCTGCAAGGAAAAACTGGCTCCCCACTAGTTTCACAAGAACTTCTAGAATGTTTCCAAACTGTTTCTCAGAGGTTTCCCTTAAAATTTCTTTAAAGTTGCCTTCTACATGGGTTTCTCTGGAACATGTTTCCAACCTAAAAGTAACTTTTCGGGAACTGCATGACCCAATAGTGTACACTGAGTTAGAAGGTCATGTCTATTATTTAGAGAATCGACGAAGTGTACACAACTGCACAAATCTTTGCATTGTCACTAGCACAACTGTCAGGAATCCACATATTATGATATGTAAAAGAATCTTTCACTGTGATAGCATTAGATGAGATTTGGTACACCGTGAAAGCAGTGAATATCTAGCTCGTTTCAACATACAGAGTTGTAGTTAATAAAAGAAAGCAAAAAATTAACTCAAAGACACTTTCAAGCAATCAAAACAATAAAATATTTATGTTTTCCTGTGAGCTTCTTGTTTCAAGAAAGAGTAGCAATTCTGGAGGTGCTATGAACACATACAAATATATAGACTTTTAGAAGTATACAATAAATAGTTCAAAGCATAAATTTTTCAATTTGAACACACAATAATCGCTTGGATAATAAATATTATGATACTGATACACAATTGTAGGTGTACATACATGCTCACCAAAATTATATGTTCTGCATACTTTAGGACGAATAAATTGTCGACCTTTGTGATTCTCTTTCAACCTCAACCAATCATCCCAGTAAGTGAAATTTTTTTGTCAAAGAAAATGTTTTAAAAGAGATACATCAAAATGATATGTAAGTTAGAGCAACAAACTATAACCCACTAAATCAATAAGGATATGATTTTGGCCACTTTGGAGAGAGTTCATCCCATATAGACTTAGACAACATCCCCTCAAGTCCAGGGAAAAAATCTGAATGGTAAAGCACATCTGCAGGGAATTTTAAAGCTGATCAGAGAGAGCTTTTCCAGGTTTACAATGCAACATTTGTCAAAGGAAAAATTTATAGTCGCCAGCCTGCCAGAATCAAGTATTATAATTTCCAGATACAAGTATAAAGGGATACAACGGCACACAAACAAAAACGTCCATAAAATAAGCATCTAACTGAAATAGAAACGATATGGATAAGCGAAAAGACTCTCTTAGAATCAGAAACTCATTGTTTTCATGGGAACTAACTGAAAATGTAAAGCAGTGAGAAGATAAAACGAGGACATGAGACTCAGGGGTCACGTCCATTGTCGCCCCTCTCCGCCTTCTCTCCTCCCTTGTTGTTTCTCTATAGGGGCGGAGACACATGAGACTCAGGGGTCACGTGTACTAACTTATCTAATTTTTATGAAGTACAAATTAAAAACAAAAACAAAAACAAAAATAAAAATAAAAAAATGTTACAATTTTTAGTCCTAATTGTTTCGAAACATGTTGGGATGACTGAATTGAACAATTGCAGTAGTCGCGCAACGAATTTTCCGTATATATTAATAACAATCGAGCAGAAGGACATAAATTAGTCAGGGAGGTCAAACATATATATCTATGTGAATGAGGGGGAAGATGAAATTTTATTTTGTTGGGGGAATATATTGAACAGTAAGTAAGTAAGTAAGTAAGTAAGTAGTAGTACATATATATGTTGGAGATTGACATAAGTTTGCAACATCAGTGGAGACCACAGGGCAGCCCACTCACACACACACTCTGGCCATCTCTGTCTCTTTTCTTGTTCTATCCCCTCCTCTTCTGTTGAATGTGAATGCGAAGCACAAAGGGACACACATTGTTTAACCCTAGTGTCATTTTGTAGCTAGTCTTGGGCCATGCATGGCCATGCATTGATTATTTTGTACAGGAGAAATCAAGAAATAGAATATGCATATACCTTTTTAACTCTCAATTATGAACTCCACAGTGGCAGACAATGACTTGTGCAGGTATCCCCTAACTACGTCTACAGTTACCTAGGGAATGCAATTTTGTGTTTGAGATTTTGCATAAACCTGAGTGTTTCAACAAATGATTGTCAAATGGTAAGGAAAGAGTACCATATGAAATTACAAAGATGAATGCAAGTTTGATTTTCATGAGGAACTCAATAAGTCACAATTCGTACTCTAAATTTCTCCGGAGAACCAAAATGAAGACAAAACTTAGATCAGAAATGGTTAACAAACATTGAATGAAGACGCTTTCAAAATTAATCCAATCAAATCACAGAGAAACATCACAAAAAAATCACATAATTAATTTCAATCGATCATTGACAATCATTTCAACCGTCATTTAACCTAACACACCAATTGCATCAAATACGAACGCTTCTAGAATGAGAGGAAACTGAATAAGTTAGAAACTCACAAAGAAATCAAATCCGTGGAAAGGGCTCAGAATCAGAATCGAACTCCAAGCTCGAAATTAGAATCAAACGCCAAGCTCGGAATCAATCGATTGGTGCTCGTGTAACTAACATCACTGTGGCTCGGAATCAATTCTTGATTAAGAGCGAGCAAGAGAGAGTGAATTAAGAACATTGAAATAAAAATTGGAGGCGGAATTGAAGGAATCAAGAATTGAAGACAATGCTGATATTGAAAAATTCGACCTAATCAATCTATACTTGTGAAAATAAGTAGAGATTGAGATCAAAAAAATGAAAAAAAACATAGAATCAAGAGCGAAATTACCGAATAGAGAACTGAAATAGCAGTGACAGAGAGAGTCTGAGATGAAAAGACGATTGTCGATGAACTTTGTCCCTCTAAAAATGTTTGCGAATTTGGTTGTGAAAGTGACTCGTTTGGCCCGAGGCCATTTTAATCAATTAGTCAAAAAGTTATTAAATTAGTTAAAAAGTCAATAATTTATACTAAAAAGTTAAAGATTTTCTTTTCTTTCTATTTTTTGTACATCTTTTCGTAATTAGTCAAAAATCCAAACATACAAGTTTTTTTACCTACTTTTTTAGCCAAATAACTAAAAAATTATTAAATTAACCTAACTAAAAAATTACTAAATTAGCTGTTGCCAAACGAGGCCGAGTCTGGTTTTTAGTAAGCACAAGCTTTGGAGCTGCCGCTGAATTTTGGAGGAATTTAGGAGAGAGATAGAGATGACTATGAGGATAATAATAAATAATTAATATGTGTTTTTGGGTATAATTGAAATTAAATCAGGACACAATAGGTCAAAACATGGAAGGATATATCAAACGAAGTTGAAATTTATTTTTAAAATTAGACAAAAATGATACGTTAATCACATAACATAAAAATATTTAACTTATATAAAAAATGTCAAAAACTCTAAACAAATTATTAAATATTATACCAAATAGTCATATGGGAGTGAAACTCATATAATGTAAATTTTATATTATGTAGAATATTTAATAATTAAAATTCTTAATATTGTTTAACTACCCTCTCTAATATGAACATAAATTTTAATATAATAATATATATATTTATCATATAATAAGTATTTTTTATTTTTTATTTAATATTAAACAAAGATTAAATGTATTTCGTATACCTCAAATAATAATTAGCATATGTTCTGTGGGATGCAAACAAATGACAATATTAATAAATAAAAAATTTGGGATACACAGAAGGTATAATTTTAATAATATTAATAATAAAAAAAATAGGAGTAGAAAATTTTAGACAAAATGATTTAAATATAAGTTTATAAATTATTTTTGTATGAAAAAAAAAATTCTAGATTATAAATAGAATATCAAGTTCATTGGGGAAAAAAAAAAAAAAAATTCATATCTACTAGAAATTTATAAATATTTAAGAACATTTAGAATTTTTCATTATTATTTATAACTAAAATATAATTTCTCTAGAGAATGAAAGAGTTTGGGACCAAAACCTAGATAGATCTAGAATGAGCGGGAGTGTGGCGTAAGTTTTTAAATAAATTTTTTTTTTTGCTTTTTAAATTCAAATAATTTACATATACTTAGAAGGAAAATATTTTTTAATTTTCTAAAAAAATCACTAAATTCAAAAAAAATATAAAATTTAATATTTTACGACATGAAATGTATGTTGTCTTTAAGTGTAAATACTTTACAACATATTTTTGTATACAGTGAAAATATACAATTTTTTACGGCATACTTTTGCATGTCATAAAAAAATCGGATTGAATTTTTTTTTTTTTTTTTTTTTTGTAAAAGTTTTCATGACATTCATTTAGCATGCCATGTAAAGTTATAATATTTTACAACATGAAATGTATGTCGTCTTAAGTACAAATATTTTACGACTTATTTTTGTAAGTCGTAAAAACATATAATTTTTACTACATACTTTTGCATGCCATAAATATATGAATTAACGACTTACATGGTATGTATGCTGTTATTGACAAAACATTAACGGCTTGCAAAAAAAAAATGTCATAGAATGTACTAACTACGACATGCATTTAATGCATGCCGTAAACATAATGCCGCAAATAGTTAATTTTGTTGTAGTGAATCAGTTGTTGCTTGCTCTACTGCCGAAGCTGAGTATCGTGCGATAACTCATGCCACTGCCGAGATTGTTTGGTTTCGTTGTCTCCTGTCTGATTTGGGTGTCCCTCAGTCTTCTCCGACCTCTCTTTATTGTGACAACCACAGTGCTATTCAAATTGCCCACAATACTGTCTTCTATGAACAAACGAAACACATTGAGATTGATTGTCACTTTGTTCGCTAGTATTTGCAGTTTGGCTCCATTTCGCTTCTTTTTATTTCTTCTACTTTGCAACTTGCGGACTTCTTTACCAAGACTCACACTACTGTTCGGTTTCAGTTTCTTCTTAACAAACTCTCAGTATTTTCTGCTAAAACGTCTTGAGTTTGACTGGGGGTGTGAGAATATATTGTGTATATTCTATATTTGGCATGATTGTAATTGTACATATTACAGGCGTGATTGTGTATAGGCGTGATTGAGGCATAATTGTGTTTTCCTTTTATGATTTAGGAATTAGGGTTATATAATCTAAGATCTCATTGTAATCAAATACACAATTGAATATACAATATGATGATACTGTTCGTTCCAAGCGGAACGGGTCGGACTGATCCACGCTCCTCAATCCTACGCTTGAATGACGAAGCCCACCGGGAAACCTACACACGAGTTCAACAAGGAACGAGGAGTCCCTCAGCGAACCCTCCGACGAGCAAGTTAGAAAGAAAAGTGGAGAGTAGTGATGGATTAGAGATAAAAAGTTTAACCTTCTTCTTGTCTTCAACGTCTACTTATATCCTCTAGTAATCATTTTGTTATCCCTTCAGACCTGCCACCTTAGTCGAAAGTCTATGCTGTAGCTTCCCTTGTTCAGGGTGAGGGTGTGCCGTCTCGATGGAGAGGGGTTATCGCAATAAATGCTGTAAGGGGGCCTCATTAATGGCGATGTGCCGTGGCAATAACTTTGCAGATCTTTGTCTGCTGATGTGGCTTGCCCTTCTCTTGCCATGTGTTTTGATGTCATTGGTTCTTATTGCTACATGGGGCTTCGGAAGTGCTGGGCCTTAGTATTTGAGTTATATATTGGGCCCTGAATGATGGGCTATAACCTTTATGGGCCTACCCGTGTCAGTAGTCCCTCATTCCTAAGTGCAGCTTTAGTCCAACGAAGGAAATAATGAAGAGAATGAGGGATGTGAGAGACCGGTAGAGTGAAGGCCGACCGAGAGGGGTGACCGACCATAAGGAGGGCCGACCGCGAAGGGTGGCCGAATAGAGAGACTGGCCATGAGGAGGGCCGATCGCGAAGGGTGGCCGAGCGGAGAGACCGACTACAGGGAGGGCTGACCGCGAAGGGTGGCCGAGCAGAGGGACCGACTACGGGGAGGGTCGACCGCGAAGGGTGGCCGAGCAAAGTGACCGACTACGGGGAGGGCCGACTGCGAAGGGTGGCCGAGCAAAGGGACCGACCATGAGGAGAGCCGACCGCGAAGGGTGGTCGAATGGAGACACAGACCATGAGGAGGGCCAACTACGAAGGGTGGTCGAGCGGAGGGACCGACTACAGGGAGGGCTGACCGCAAATGGTGGGATGGCGCGGGGTTCGAAAGGCGACGGGGCACGTGGTGAGGTGAAGTGGAATAGACAGGGAAGGGGAAAGGGGTAGTGGATCGTGATCATACACGTGGCAGAATCTCATAGTGGGGGAGATTAGGCGTTGAGCAATTAGTGAAACGATAGGTCATCATAGGGTGTTTGAAAAGTCAGTTTTGGCGGATTGTTGAAAATTTTCAAACTGGCGAAAATTAATTGTGACCCTTGGAATACAGGCAAGCCTTGGGCTTTTGGTATTATTCATTTTACCTTCATTTTTGCAAAAAATCAAAACATTCCAAGTGTAAACTCCTTCGTTGCTAATGATACACCCCTGCAACACTTTTTGAATTTTCTTGCGCCCGCATCCGAAGCGATTTGCATGCATACAAGAGAGATGGCCCAAGAGGAAGTAAGAGTTGATCCGTTGCGTGACGATGATGCGGTAGAGTTGGCGGAACAATACCGGACAGAGAGGCGAGTAGGAAGCGAGGGAGAGCCAGTGAGGGGGACCTCGTTCGTCGACGATGATAGTGGCTGCGTAGCTAATCAGCCAAGTTGAGCCAGATCATTAGCATACGAAGGCCGATAAGTCGATCGTGACTGCGGAAGAGTTGGTGGGTATACGCGAGAAATACCAGATTCCCGCAGAAATAGAGTTAAAGCTGCCAACAATGAAGGAGAGGCCATCTGACGCCCGACCGGGGGAATTTTCCCTTTATGAGGAGGTGTTGAAGGGAGGGTTGAGGTTGCCACTCCCGCAGGTGGTAATGGATGTCTTAAACCGGTTGGAAGTGGCGCCGGGTCAACTAATGCCTAACACGTGGAAGATTGTACTGGCCTGTGCAAGCGCGTGGCCGAGGGCGAACGAGGGAGCGACTATGACAGTGGACGAGTTTTTTGCATGTTACAAGGCCTTGGGGCAGCAAGAAACGTGGTTCACTTTGCAGGCGGCGGCGGGGAGGGGCCTAGTGGTGGGGTTGCCATCATCAATAAAGGGGTGGAGGCCGCGATGGTTCTACGTGTCCGCAAACGGAGGAGTTGGAGTGCCCACGGTGTGGAGAGTGCCCACCAAGTCTGTAGAGCTAAAGTTGGGAGTGGCGGCTGAGGAGAGGGTGAAGAAAGTGAAGGCATAGAGGGAGAAAGAGGGTGTCAAATGGGACGAGCTCGTTCAGCCGTCTGCCTTGTTTGCCGTAGGGTTGGGCCCTCAACCGACCGGTGGAGACCTGAAACCAGTGGAATTGGAGGCGAGAAGAAAGGCGCAAGAGGTGGAGGATAGGACCATTCTCGCGAAGGCTAGTAATTTCAAAGAGGCACAGGCAGACCGGCCGCCAAAGCCGATCGCGAGGGAGAGGATCTGACCGCGTCCCAAACCGCTGGCGGAAAAGGACTTGGGTGGATTTGAGCCACGGCCGCCCCCAATTGATCCTTTGAAGAAAAGAGCCAGCAAGGAGGTGGAGGCTGTGGCGAAGAAGAAAAGGAGGGTAAGGGAGAGGGAGGAAGGGCCAGCCTTGAAGAGGAAGAAGGTGGTGATGGTGGAGGCTACTCCAGAAGAGGTGGCTGTCCTTGAGGCGCAGAGGGACAATGTTCAAAGTGAAGGAGAACCCATGAGTACCAGGGGCCCCAAGACGTAAGTGGATGGTGGGTCAGCTGGTCCTAAAGAGGGGATGGAGTAACAGCCCAAGGGGGGTCCTGCACCCCAAGGAGAAGGGGTCAGGCTGACGGCT